ATATCTTGTAATCCGACAAGTCCATTACTACTTCACGAGAAGTCGAGTTATGAGTATACGAAGGGAGGATGTAAGCGGTATGGATCATGAATCCTCGTCTGATAAGTGTCGAGTGATATAAAATGCTAAGCGACAGCTACAACAGATTCGTGAAGCCTCGAGAGATCATCATCACAAGTAACTTGGAGAGTTAGCTTTTCGGAGACAGGTCGAATCTGCTATTGCAAGCCTCGAAGATCATATGACCGTTTTTCGGGTAGGCATTGAAGCGACAGTGACTACCCATATTCATGTCACTAGCGAGGTCCTGGAGGCAGTCGTCATCAGCAACACCCAACGAACTGGCCTGGAGCTTATAGGATTCCCGCAGAGCAGTAGTGCGATTAGTGGTTCCGGATGTAGAGATCTCGTAGTCGAAGTCGACGTCATTACATGTGTCATCATAATCGCCATTACTCAATTCAATATCGGCCACCAAACGCGCCTGTGTCAATTCCTTAACGGTCATGATGCAGTAAATCCCCTCTTCATTAAACCCATCGTACTTCTGGTAGGTCTCCATATAGGAACCTGCTTGAACCAGTGGTACACCATAGGCCAACAGTTGGATCCACACGATAGAAGATATGATCATTATAATTTGCTCAGATGTCTCCGATGACGAATGGAGGTGACTCAAGGAGCGGTGACGATTATGGGTAGAGGGGAGTTGCAAAAAAGACTGACGAGATCAGACCCCATTTCTGTTGAGCATGCGGCAGATTGCCGTCGGCAGTGATAAAAATCAACAAATCTCGTCGATGGAAGAACTGAGATCGTTTTGAGGAATGCGAGCCACTCCGAGCGCGTTCGGAACACGGCGTTCCTCGTTATCCAGTACAATCGCAGCGATTAGCCGTGGATAACAGAATGCACTAGAGGAGCTAGTTGACCTCATGAAGAAGCAGACGGCGCCTACTGAAATACTATGTCGAGAACACCTACATCAACGTGCTTCTGAATCTGGAAACCGTGTTGACCTACCAGAATGACGTGAAGCTTTTGGCACATCGAGCCTATACAAGCTGAGGTGCAGCTCAAACCAGTTGCGGGAAAGCCTTCATACCATGTCTTTGCGGTCACTCATGCCATTCTTAAGATATTGGACCGAGAGCTGCAGGAGGCCCAGCTTATCGTGTCGGAATCCCGAAATAGAGCACCTGTACTTATCGTTGTGCGCTTCGTTCGAGCGTGCCAGCGGAGAGACTGATCTCATATTTGTGGCAAAGGGATCTGTTACATTAAAGCGGCTCTTCGGAAAGGCTTGGTGCAGTAACCTCTAACCGTATCATTTTGTGATGTTTTGTAATGCTAGTCGCGCAGTAGGCTAGGAACATTCCAGTAAAACTGTGATAACTGGTGTACCCGGAGCATTGTGCGGCTGTGTCCATTTCGATGGTCATCGGGTAGATCTCGTGCGCGGATGTTGTCACGTTTTGATCGTGTAAGTTTTACCACACACTTGTATCCATTTACTCCCTGGGTGAGATTCTCGCCCATGATATCGGGCGGGGTTGACTAAGTTAGACTGTGACAATCCTCAGCTGGAGTCTCGGCCGAAACGATCCTCGAAAATTTCGT